AAAAAGAAAATTAAAAACCATCATGTGCCATACATCGAATTCATTTCTCCCCAGAGAGAAATCGTACCTCTAAAACGAATTACAACACACGTTACCTCAATCTGCACGAAACGCCGTCAACCGGAAAAAACAGGTATCGTACATCGTTATGTCATTCCTTCTACACCACTACCAACGAGTACTTTTCATTCCGCGCTGCCCCCTCTCTCTTCGCGCCAGGCGCTGGGCACCCCTCGGCGACGGCGGCGCAGCGATTCCGAGTCCCGAGCCCTCACGCACACACGCCCGCGCGCGCGCGCGCACGCACGCACGCACACACTCACGCTCGCACGCGCACGCTCCGAGCGAGCTAATGCAGCGGCGGCGGCGGCGGCAGCGGCGGCGGGCAGGAGCGGCGGCAGCAGCAGCAGGGCAGCGACCGCAGCGGCGCGCCGCCCCCGCCACCGCCGCCGCCGCCGCCGCCGCCGAGGCGCCCGCTGAGAGAGAGACGCCCACTCGCTGCTCGAGGTGCACCGCAGCCGCGCGCGAAGCTCTACGAAGGCGCTCCGTGCGAAACTAGGCAGAAGGCTCGACGCGCTCGAGATGTACAGCAGTTACTCCATACTTCGATTTGCCTAAAAGCGAACGTTCGCCGAGCATATCAGCTGCCCGGGATTGGGCTCGCTACTCGGCGAATGCCGAATGTGTGCAATCGTCTTTATACTTCGGTTTTCCTGTCGTGGCTGACGACATTACGTCATTGTTACACCTCGTGGCTTATAAAATTAATCTTTTGAACAGAGATAACCACATTTCTAAAGTATCGAGCCCCGTTAAGAAGGACGTTCGCGAATTCATTAAAAATATTTATTTTATAAGGTAGGAGGTGTAACAATGACTTAAAGTCATCAGCCGCTACAGAAAAATCGAAGTATAAAGGCGGTTGCACACATTCGGCATTCGTCGAGTAGCGAGCCCAATTCCGAGCAGCCGATGTGCTCGGCGAATGTTCGCTTTTCTTTTGATGGGTCCCAGAGACTGCCACGCGGTGGGCACGGCCAGTACGTCGCTCAGCAAATAGCAATCCACTCTCTCACAGTACTCGGGATTCGGCGAGCGGTTGCTCGCTACTCCCCGAAGACAGAATGTGTGGAGCCGCCCTTAGGAGGAAGGGACCAGTTTGACAGGTCGAGAAACAAACGAACGTCACGCAGGGCGATAGCAGGGCGCAAGAGATAGCGATGAAGTCATTTACGACTGAGCGAACTGTAAACGTACGCAGTGACAAATTGAGTGCACAGATGTAATCTGCAATTAAGTTACCAGCAATAGCTGTGAAAACGGTCCTCAAAATATATGGTACGGACAATAAATGCTACGGCTAAAGACGAAAATAGGGTTTGTATAAGGAGTGCCCGATTGAACCAAACACTCGCCAAAAGGGGTGAATAAATCTGTGAATATCGATGAACGGATAATTTCGGACGTCAACAGGCTAATGGTGGTCTTAGCACTGGCTAAAGTAAATGATTGTCCGGATGCGAGGCGTCTGTTGTGTTCGCGATAAATATTTTCTCATAAAACGCGTTGGAAAGTATGAATTGCAGAAATCGCGGAAGCCGAAGGCGTGAACTTCGTCACCAACTCGGAAAAACGAAGCAAAAGTGTCACTGAGGTATAAGGTCAAGTTAGATTAGGTTAAACGGTATCGTATAAATAGGAATTTACGACTCACCCAATGGAACTTCACACTTTGTCTCTTTCAAGGCTTAAAAACTTCCCACCAGTAGTCTGAACCCGTATTGTAAAATATCTCATATTCCTCAACACCGTAACGCCCTTCACCACCTCCAATCCCCTCTGGTCGGATAATATCAACTTTCTCCAGCTGAAGTCCGAAATTATGCTTCGTACTCTGATTTCAACATATTTTTAAAGTGAACATTAACTGGCTAGAAACCATCATGTTGCTCATCGATATAGGACCAATTGTTGTGTTTTGGACCTACACCCATGAACATATTCCCACAATAGAGGGTCTTGAAATATAGCAGATTAACTGGCTAATTCGCGAATTCGTCGGATTCGGATATTAGGCGCAACATACAACGAATACTCACGCTTAAGCATTTGAGCCGTGCGCGGTTCTCTAAGACGAAAACCCATGTAAAACTAGGCAGAAGTCTGAACACGCTCGATTGAATCAAAGATGGCACGCGGTCCGTGGCCAGCTTGTCTGCTGGAGCTGGAACTGCTCTGGCATTCGCCTGGTACTGATCGGAGAAACCACAGAAAACTACCGATAGAAATCTCCTGCAGACACCAGCTAAATTCAACCTAGTTATCTCCCTAATATAGATAACTATATTATACAAGAATGTTTGTAGTAAAAAAGGTGTGTACTGCAACGAACACAATCCTTGGTTCCTGAAGTTCTTCAGTACACCGGCTCCTGCTTGAATGCATCATGATCGTATCTGCACGTTTTTCCCTGGGTGCACCTGAGGTATGGACGTAATAGTCATTCGGACATTAAACATAATTCAAATAATACACTCACTATGTTTCCTGAAATTACCGTGAAAACCCGACCAGGTAAAACTGCAACGTGTTCTTTGTATGTATGATTCCTTAAAAATGTTTCGGTAGGTGGTTGTGACAGGGAAGACAGAAGCAAACTGTCACAATCACGTAGGACATTCCAAATAGCTATTCGTGAATTCACAATTGCCCCGAAAAATACAGATTTCCTGTTACGTCAAGCCAGAGATTGTAAAGAAACATGGTACAGAGAGTCCACAAGGTATTTACCATAGAAATGACGCCGCCTAACACACTATTTACTTTTACTGCGAGTATTTATGACATTCTGAAGTGAGGGTTGTTTGCTAGAACAATGTTAAGCACAAATGATAAGCAATACGTTATTTACAAATCTATTTCAGAGAACTAATATTTGGTTAAAATCAAACTGAGTCCAAGAGGGATTTCCTGAATTTTGTAACACATTTATCTACTTTTATACGTAATCAACTTTTTGTCCATCAAATAATTTCAAGGTTTGTAGCATCTATGCTGTCCAACTTACAAATAAATATTTGAATTATCTACAAGATTATGATATTACAGGAAAAACAAGCAGGAACACGAAAGTATCCATTAAGCAAATGGTAAACAACTGATGTTTCCAAACAATCGAGTAAATGATAACATTATTCATAACAGGCGTTTGAAGGCAGAAACTAAAATAATTATATGTTGTCATTGTCACCAACATTGTTTATTACAAAAGCAGGTAGTCATATTGTGGCTTCCATACGCAGAAAACAGATAATGATGGCTAAGACATCGAAAGCTGGTTTTGTAATGTGCAACATTGTTGGCAATGACAACTCATAATAATTATTTTATTGTAAATGCCAACGGTATCAGAATACCAATAACAGAAACTGAAATTACATTAAGAATATTGTAAACGTTCAAATTAATCCAGTTTTATTCGTAGAACTGTTTCGCATATGAAAGGTGCCTCCCACAGTTAACGCCCTTACACTATGCGCCCTAATGCAAGCGTACTATCTGCCTCCGCCGACCAGCCACGCCGGCCCTATCAAACGCGCGCCCGCTCCTCCCCCGCCCCCGCAATAACACCGGCTGCCTTATCGCAGCACAAACATTGTTCCAGGCGGCCGCGATAAGGGGGGAAAGGGGTTTCGCTAGGGGGCGCTGGCGCGGGCAGGCAGCGCAGCTGATTTGTTTACACACGCGGTCCACGCGGCTGCTGGGACCCCTACGTCCCCCACCCCCGCCCCCCGGCGCCACGGGCCTTTGTGCTTACACGCGCCGTCGGCGACGACGACGCGACGGTCGCCTCGCTCGGGCGAAAAGCGAAAAGCGTGCGCGCGGGGGGCGGCTATATTTGTCTCGGAGGCGGAGGAGGAGGAGGAGGAGGAGGAGGAGGAGGAGGAGGAGGAAGAAGATGAGGTGTGGTGGTGCGGCCAAGGAGGAAACGCGGCAAAGGAAGGAGAAATGGGAGAGAATGGGGTGTCGGTGGTGGCAGTACAGGGCGAGGTGGTTGGCAGAGGCAGTGGAAAGAGAGAGCGTTGTCGACTACACTACTAACCACCTTTAGGTACAAGGGGCGCTGGAGACAGAAGCAGATCAATGTCTTCGTGGGCCCTAAGCATTACAAAACTAAGAGATATCCGTAATAATTTTAAAATAAATTTTGGGATTAGAAGTGAGTGATAACAAACTATAACGTTGGAAAACATGTGTAATACAAATGAACTATTACAAAATGCAGTACACCTTTTTTTAAAAAAAATCGTTAGGAGCCTCCATCTCGCGGAGCCCAAGCACGTGCTTGGTCTGAGGTATTAATCCACCCGTCCGAAACCGACGATGAGAAGGAGGGAGCAACTACCACAGGCAGGGGAGGGGGCGAGCGGGGGCGGCGGCCTCCCCTGACAGCCAGGCGAAACAAAGGCCGTCTGCCTGTCCGCACCGCGCCGCCTCTCCCCTCCCCCGCGCCGGACCCGAGCAGCAGCAAGGCGGAATCCGCAGGTACCATAAATAGGCCCCGCCGCCGATATGCATTTACGACCGCCGCGCCGCCGCGGCGTGGTGAAGACTCTCCGACGGGCCGTAAAACACTTTTATTTTATCTCCCGCGAAAAGGCTTAACTGCGCGGTAACGCCCGTCCTCGGCCCCGAAGTAGGACGTAAAGCACGACAGAGACATTACACACACGAATTCACTTTCACCCGATTATTCGCGCGGCGGTGGCCGTCGTTATTTTTGTTTTTTTTTTGCGAGTGGATATCGTAAACACGCCGCGCTCCCACGCCAGGCACCGATTCCCGCGCCGTTCCCATCGACCTCGCGGACAAAGATCCCCGGTTCACCTTCGCCTACCGCCGGGGCTCCTCGGCCCGGGCGCGTATTTACATACAGCGGCGTGCGTCACGGCGCATAAAGGCGCTCGCGAGAAGAATAACAACAACAACGCAGCACTTACTGGATCGCCAGGCGAACGCCTTCCATAACCTCTGAGCAGCTCCCGCCAGGTTCCACCGCAGAGCGCCCAACGGACAGACGGAGTGGCGACGGCGCGCCGGAGCACTAGCGGCGGCACACGCACCAACACGCGTGCGCGCACGCACGGGCGGCCGGCCGGCCGGCGGCGCGTCACGACTCGACACGCGCGCGCCTCGCAGCGGCGGCTCCCGCGGACTCGCGGCCGCCGCTCCCGCACACACACGCACACAAGCACACGCACGCGGGCCCCCGCGTCCGCGGTTCGATCCCGATCCGTTCCGGCCACGCGATGTGTGGCGTCGCGCCCGCTGCAGCTGCTCGTCTGGCGGGTCTGCGCTCCGGTCTGGCCTCCTCGCGGCGGCCCCTCGCAGCGCACACAACGCAGGCCAGCCACAGGCCCCGCCGCCGCCGCCGCCCGCGCCTCGCCTCGCCTCACAGCTGAGCCGCCCGGCGCTGCCAACGCCGCCAGCGCCCGGCGACACGCTTGCCAACGTTGCGGGCGCGCTGCGGGGCGGAGGCGGAGCGCGGCGGGTGGCCAGGTGGGGTGACCACGAGGCGGAGCAGCCGCCTTCTCACCTCTCCTCTCTTCTCTTCTCTTCTCTCAATGGATCCGCGCGGCGAAAGGGATTTCCTTGTTTGTTACGACGGCGTTCGGTGATACGGATTCCGACGTGAAAATATAGATTTAATTTAATAGAATTAATTTAATCTCATTAACTGTCCTTAATACTTGAATAAGAATTTAATCCCAAACGTTTGCCAACATTTTTTTTGTACAGACCCTAATTTCCTACTACAAGATCTCATTTCGAATGGTCAGCACACCTGCACTGTAAAACACTGCCAAATATAACGGTTCAATTGATAATAAAATGTATTATTATTATTACTACGATTGTTATTATTTAGTGATATAATAAATTAATAGAAGTGTGAACAAAACTGGTTGATACACATTTTCTTTGTAGTGATAATCAGGGAATGTAATTTATTGTATTTAAAAAAGGGCATAAATGTCTGTTGTTGTTTTTTTCAAAAATACATACGGAAAACTAGAAAATGTGCAACTAGAAAAATGCATGATATTGTTTAAAATTGGTCCATTCAATTTATTTCAAATTTTTGGACACAATACGTCGCCTGTCTGGCCTTAAGTTGTATTCGGCGAGGTTGGTTGGAAATTCTACCTCTACAAAATATACTGGACACTAGGATTCATAACGCAATTCAACATACGAAATATAAAATATGAACGAAGAATATACAATTTTGTTTACGAAAAGCTAGTGCGCAAGTTTTTTTGCGTAGCCAGTTACGGAGTGAAGGGTGAGGAGTTGAGGGTAAGCGAAAGGTTGTTCTGATCCAATGTTCCTCTGATCAATACCAGGTGAATGCTGGAGCAGAACCTCAACAAATCGGCCACATACCGCGAGCAATCTTCCCTTCCTCCTTCTTTACATCCTCCTTCAACGGAGGATTACTCCATACAAAGGAAAATGTAAGTTAACGGAGGATTACTCCTTACAAATGCGTTCTACGCCAAGTTTTTGGCTTGTTAACATGACTGAGGACGTTGTCACAAATAGTGACAGAATATTTAAAAAAAATTAATAAACAAAATACTTCCACACACGAACACTTCTACCCATATGGGAAGCCCAGCCAAGACAGTGAGTTTGTCCTGGCCAGTGCAGTGCCCCTATGGGAAAGATGTGGGGAGGGAAACTCGCATGCAGGTCGACCGCCGAAACTCATGTTCCAGCTACGGGGGAACACCGCCATCTCTCGAAATATATATGGAAGTAATTAAGAAGTTGACGCACCCGGAAACACTAAATACACACATATTCAATTATTGTACTTAATTGAACCCAACGTATTGAAAAGAACGGCCACATATTCATTGCTCCAGTTTCCAAACAAGTATTCCCATTAAGCCCGATCTGATTTCATAAATTGATTCTGTATTCCACGTAGTGCTTCATAATATTAGATTGTTGTAAGTCACGGCCGTCCTGATACAGAGACCGGGAAACCTATTAGCTCCATATTTTTTTATTTTATTTTACTGATGACAGTTTCCGAATATCAATATGACGATGATAATTATTTAATATCATTTAGACTGTGACACGATAGCACTGTGTACACAAACAAGTTTGGCCGTCCTTTATTAGCCAAAAATGCGTGGGAAATGGATATAATTAAGGTGCTTCCGAACCGGTGAATGGATGTCGGAATTCACAGCGAGCTTGCGTTTTCATATCTAACGCAGAGGACCAATAAGCGCAGTGATTGCTACCACTACTACCGTACCAGCCTCCGTCGCAGAAAACGTCTCAGCGACCGGCGTCTTTCATTAGTTTATTGTCAGAAAGTATTATTGAATTCTTGAAAAGAAGCGACATAATTTTGCATGTTTAATGCTTCGCGAGCGCCATGTTTACTTCATTAAATCAATAAAACAATCGCCGTGACTTTAACTTAAATTTCTGGGAGCATGCTTGTTTTCAGTTTGAAGTTAACGTTCCAGAGAAGCGCACATTGTAAGTTATGACACCACGTAGTAAACAAGTTGAAAAACATATTATTTAATACAAACAATCCTGCTGTGTAAAGAAAGGTAAATGTAATTCAGTTTCTGGGAATATAATACTACAAATAATAAAAACAAGAAAATAAAATAGTTACAGATAAAAAATGATACTTCTACGAATTTTAAGAAAGAAGAATATTTGTCTGTGGTATAATTGAGTCTGTTTGTGTCCCGCTAGGGAAAATCCAATCAAAAATTTTATACAACTTACTGTTTTGAACTTCAAAATACAACGAAGCCGGGAAATAATTTTTGCCTAAAACATATCCCTAGCCAGCAAATGGCATCTTAAAAGTGCTGTAATGGCCCAGTCGCGCTTTAATATCTTGAGGCCTCGTCATTCTTTCCTCATTCATGAAAGTGGGTCAACTCAACCCATTAGGTGAGATAACCTTCTTATCATGCAAGCACCGAGTTGTAAACAAAGTGAAAACTTTAGTAATCCATCGCCGAAGCCGAGCGTACTCTCCGTAGAGCAAAGAGCAACGGCGAACATTCGAGTGGGGTCAACCCCCTTCGAGCCAATGGGGCAACCGAGACAACAGTGGCAGCAGTGTTTTGCGAGCATACCATTCACGCACTCACTTCAACTTAACCCCGTCCCACATGCACACGCCCAAATCTTGGAGCTTCTATTGTCTTTCGTATAAAATATATCATAAGGAACACGTTACACGTTTATTTTAAATAAACTCTTCCAAAAGTCATAATTTCAAGGCATAATTTTTCTTTTTCTAGGTCATTTTCCCCTTCTTCCACCACCTCTCGTGGGCTAAAAAGTGCTTAAGATAAACATTAAAAAAGAACGACTCAATGTTTTTATGCTTAATGAGTGTTTGTAGGACTTGTTTCAGAAAAAAAATATCACAAATTAAATCTTTAAAATACAATTTTCAGAAACTTTTGACAGTTCAACTAGTGGTACAGAAACAGCACATACTTTCTCGCAATATTACAATGTTATATTTATGTACGACGGGACGCCCATACATGCCAAGAAAACAATTGAGAAAAATACCGTAAAGTGCAAAATACGCAAAAACTCCTCTTTTTTATTCAAAAAATTATACATGATTATGTTTAAAGAGCTAATATAGTTAAACTTTGTCTGAGGCAAAAAACCACTATCTTCAATTTTGTAGTATTATTTTTTTTTTTGTCGGCTGAGATGCCTCACTGACATCCACTGCCATTCCAGCGACTCTGACCGAGAGGTCCATGGTCCGAGCACCGTCCGGTGGGGCACATTTGACACTAGCTTTAGCTATAGCCAGATCGAATCTAGCCATTGCCTGGAGGAGAATTCCAACATTCCACTGCTCTGATCGGTAAATTTCCGTGTTTTCTCCTGTCAATGCCAGGCGAATGACGGAGCAGTACCCCGACGAACGCGCCAAGGAGCGCGCGAGATCTTTCCTTCCTCCTCCTTGTCCAATCCTCTCCCAAAACTCACACACACTTTCATTTACATGCACTACTTTCTACCACACAAGTCGGGAGCTTGATCTTGCTTGGCTGGGGTGGGTTCACCGCTGGGAGGGGTACCTGGCTGGGAAAACCCCCGAGGTCAAAAACAAATGCAGAGCGATTCCTAAGTACCAAAGAGGAATGCACACATAAGCAAATGAAACAGTCAACCTTTTTGATTCCTGTGGTAATGACGCATTCAAATAAGCACAAAATCGCTGAAAGGGGAGTTACCTTACAAACATGGAATATTGTTAGACCACTCCTAGATTTCTTCTCAATGACAAGATAGATTACGTAATCATGAATGTCAGTTTAAAATAGCCTCATGCTAATCAAGTAGTAGTGTAAATATCAACACAAAAATAAATATCTTAGTTCTCTAGAATTTAAGAAATGACACTAGTACATTAACATCCGCATGGCAACACTTCGCTGCGTAGATAAGGAGGAAGTCCAAGGAGAATTTTTTTAAATCATAAAAGAGCGCGTATAAGTTTTTTTTTGTCAAGAAGTCAATTTGTCAAGAACAACAAACATCGATACATTTCTTTTTGACTCTAAAGATTCCGGAAGGTCTTCGCATCCTCAGCATTTTCCACTCACTCCTTTCTTCCGTCTTGCCGAAGTATTTCATGCAAATCTTACAATCGCTGTACATATATTAGAATCACTAAACGAAAAAATCTTCGGTAGTATTTTCGTGCTTCAGTAAAAGTGGCTACACTCATTATTGAAAATACGAGTTGAATGCAATGATAGCCAATCGGCTATGGAAGAAACGAGCCATAAGACAGCACTTCAAGATGGAGGGCTGTTACTCACGTAGATCTACCTCCCTTACGAAAATTGATAAGTCTCATTGCCTCTTCTTGACACAGCCTATAACACATGATCTTCTCGTCAATTCAAGAGTGGACGCAAAATCATTCGAGATAAACCAACTTCACTCCAAGCTTGAGTATTTTCCGGACTGTGAAATGCGGACCTCTGAATCCGGACTCTTAAAACCGAGAAGCTTTGTCAAAATTCTTACCCGGAGTTTAATAGCAATAACAGTACGACACGCAATATTTACTTCGGAGTCAAAGCCCAGCTGCTGCCTATGCCAGTAGATGCTCCCAGTGGCGTATGGGGGTGGGAGGGAGCTAGATCAACTTGCACCAGTGTTTAATTGCCACTCCGAAAGTGTTTTTTTCATTCAAAATATATAACAAATGTATTACCGTCTAATTCAAATTAACCGCTACAAGTCATTTCCCTCGCAAGGAGAAA